TCACCTTCATCTGCCATTCTTCCAGAGTGGGTAGATCTTGTGTCTCATGAATAACCATAGTTTAGAGGTCCCGGGCCCTAAGGAAGTCAGACTATCCTCCACCAGGGCCAGGGCCTTTTCAGTGATGGCTCCGACCTGGTGGAATGCTCTGTCCCATGAGACTAGGGCCCTTCAGGATTTAACCTCCTTCCGTTGGGCCTGTAAGACAGAGCTATTCCGCCTGGCCTTTAATTTGAATTCAGCCTGATCTTTTCTTTCCCTTCCCTTCTCTTCTCTTCCCTCCTCCTTCCATTTTCTGAATATTACCCGCTCTGGAATCCCACAGCTAATTCTCCCCTGGTCTCCTCGCTGGCCCAAGTAGGACCAATACAGCCAGCTAGCCCTGGTGATCATCTAATGCTTATTGGATGGATTTCCCCCAAATTGATTTTTGAACTTTGAATTTTATTGTTATTCATGTTTTTATACTGTATTTTATGCTGCTTCTATGTTGTATTACAATTAAGTGTTTTAAATTTGTTCTTAGCCACCCTGAGCCCAGTTTTCTGAACAGGGAAGGGCGGGGTATAAATAAAAAATTATTATTATTATTTATTAATATTGGAGGGTTAAGTACTACAGTGGTACCTCGGGTTACATAAACTTCAGATTACAGACGCTTCAGGTTACAGACTCCGCTAACCCAGAAATAGTACCTCGGGTTAAGAACTTAGCTTCAGGATAAGAACTAAAATCGTGCAGCGGTGGTGCGGTGGCAGCGGGAGGCCCCATTAGCTAAAGTGGTGCTTCAGGTTAAGAACAGTTTCAGGTTAAGAACGAACCTCCAGAACGAAATAAGTTCTTAACCTGAGGTACCACTGTAATAGGATTGGGGCAATGAAAAACAAGAGGAAGGGAGCAGACTTATTGACTGAGAGCTAGCTACAGACTGTGCAAAAGTACAAAGCATCAGGTGCATCATCTATGGGGCTCTGGGGGTGGCCTGAGGCTCCTCCAAATTTTTCAATGAGGGGGCTTTGCCCCCTCAATATTCTGCAGCCGCGTGGGCCCTGTCAGCCCCCCTGCAGCTGCGACAGGCTCCATCGGGCCCTCCTACAGCAGTGGTGTGGGGTCCATCAAACCTTTCGGAGGGCATGCCAGGCCCATTGGGCCTCTTCCCATCATGTGAGGTCACACACATGCGCCAGCCCCCCCCCCCATGTTGGACGGAACCCGGCGCACCTGCAAAGCATGAAATGAAAACTTCCCCCACTTTGCACACGAGGAGAGGGCATGCTTGGCAGCCTTAAGGAACCACAGTGGAAAGGAAAAAGAGAGAATGAGGCAGGGAACTGACCTGCTTGTGAATTGACCTGCTTGAAGAAGAAGAGGAGTTTGGATTTGATATCCCGCTTTATCACTACCCGAAGGAGTCTCCAAGCGGCTAACATTCTCCTTTCCCTTCCTCCCCCACAACAAACACTCTGTGAGGTGAGTGGGGATGAGAGACTTCAGAGAAGTGTGACTAGCCCAAGGTCACCCAGCAGCTGCATGTGGAGGAGCGGAGACGCGAACCCGGTTCACCAGATTACAAGTCCACTGCTCTTAACCACTACAACACACTGGCTCTCTTGAGCCACAGCTTATAGGATTCTGGAAGGTGACTTGGCTGGTTGACACACAAAGCAGGAGCTGTTAGTGGGTGAGGTTATACCGTACTGCAACATATTATTGCAGGTCCTACTTACATTATGCAATACAGTCATACCTCCATTTATGTAACCCTCTGGTTACGTAAACTTCAGGATGTGCATGCTGCAAACCCGGAAGTATTTTCGCCGCGCATGCATGCGCAGAAGCGGTCCTAAGGTTGCGGAAACCTCAGGATTTGACTGGACCTCTGGAACAGATCCCGCCTGCAACCGGAGGTACCACTGTATAGTAAAAGAGAAGTAATTCCTCCAGACACCCCCCCCCAACAGAACAAATATAAATGTACTGGCTCATGACAAGATGCAAAACATAAATTTCATCTGCTCCTGTTGGAAAGCGAAAGGAAATGATCTCTTCCATTGCCAGATGTCCCCAGAGGAAATTAATCCATGTGTTTTCTTCCAAACTTGTTTGTGCAGCTTCACTCGGAACAATTATCCATTATCTAGCCTGATTGGTCAGAGAAGTGTCAAAATGTCCCCCTGGAGACATTTGGGGACTAAGAAGTGTTTGGTTAAGCATCTCAGTCATTGATTTGGCCTGAATGGTAGTTTTTAATGTACCACAACATTTAATCTTCCATTGAAAAAGGCATAAAGGCATTTGTCATGAAAACATCTGGGGAAATCCACAAATGTGCCCATATTTATGCTTTCAGAAATGCCTGGTTGACCTAAAAGCAAAAGTTAGTGGAAAGTGGATGATTTTTGCATGGCATTTCGACTTTAATCCATATGCAGGGACCATTAAGAATGTAAAAGTCTGAATAAGAAATGTATAGCCCTGTAATGATTATTCAATACACAGTTACAGAAAATGGGTGCATATGCTACAAATTAAGTATAATTTTGGCACAAGCAAGCAAGCAAACAAACAAACAAACAGAGATGGAGAGAGAAGGAAATCACATGTAAGATATACAAACGCAAAATAAAACTGAATTCTGTTTAATTTAATTTTTGCTTCACTTCAAAGAGAGGCAGTGTCATGTAGAGGTTAGAGTGTTAGACTAGGACCTAGTAGATCAGACATGTAAACATCTGGGTAAATCCACAAATGTGTCTGTTACAGGAATTCTAACGCCTTATATATATATAAAATAAATGTTCATAAATGTACAAGGAAAACACACACATAAGTATATAAACTATGTGTCTGAAATAGTACAGGAGAACAATCCTGAAGCCATTTTGACTCTCCCAAATTGACCTCAAATATTTCTCTGCAAGGAGGAAGGAAATGGGAAATGCTTTCTGATTGTCTTTGGGCTGTAGGGGCTTACACCTCCCTGTAAATACGGTCTGGCACGTATCTGTTGAGCTGAGCACACTATCAATATGCGTAAGAGATTCAGGAACTAAGTATTTACCATCTCCAAGGAATGGCCAGGCTACCCAGAAAAGGCAGACAGGAGAGAAGCAACATACTCAAAATTCTGCTGGGACCGCCTCTTTCTGTGATGTATGTATGATTTTTGTGGGGTCAGTCTTGAGCTACAGGGTGGGCAATTTCACTGATTGGTTCAAAATTGGGAAAGGAGTACGACAAGGCTGTATACTGTCTCCCTGCTTATTTAACTTATATGCAGAATTCATCATGCGAAAGGCTGGGCTGGATGAATCCGAAGCCGGAATTAAGATTGCCGGAAGAAATATCAACAACCTCAGATATGCAGATGACACAACCTTGATGGCAGAAAGTGAGGAGCAATTAAAGAACCTTTTAATGAGGGTGAAAGAGGAGAGCGCAAAATATGGTCTGAAGCTCAACATCAAAAAACGAAGATCATGGCCACTGGTCCCATCACCTCCTGGCAAATAGAAGGGGAAGAAATGGAGGCAGTGAGAGATTTTACTTTCTTGGGCTCCATGATCACTGCAGATGGTGACAGCAGCCACAAAATTAAAAGACGCCTGCTTCTTGGGAGAAAAGCAATGACAAACCTAGACAGCATATTAAAAAGCAGAGACATCACCTTTCCGACAAAGGTCCGTATAGTAAAAGCTATGGTTTTCCCAGTAGTGAAGTATGGAAGTGAGAGCTGGACCATAAAGAAGGCTGATCGCCGAAGAATTGATCCTTTTGAATTATGGTGCTGGAGGAGACTCTTGAGAGTCCCATGGACTGCAAGAAGATCAAACCTATCCATTCTTAAGGAAATCAGCCCTGAGTGCTCACTGGAAGGACAGATCCTGAAGCTGAGGCTCCAATACTTTGGCCACCTCATGAGAAGAGAAGACTCCCTGGAAAAGACCCTGATGTTGGGAAAGATGGAGGGCACAAGGAGAAGGGGACGACAGAGGACAAGATGGTTGGACACTGTTCTTGAAGCTACCAGCATGAGTTTGACCAAACTGCGGGAGGCAGTGAAAGACAGGAGAGCCCATGGGGTCACGAAGAGTTGGACACGACTAAACAACAACAACAATATAAGGGCTTGCACACCAATGTTCTGGGTTCCTCTCCTCCCTCCCTGCGTGGGGTGAGTGGGACACCCTGTTGGAAACAGTTTAATAAAGATCAGGCTTACTAGCTGCTTTGCTTCTCAATATTCTCTGGTTGGCCTCTGTTATTTTCTCCTACCGATAGGAAACCTACATAAGGACTCTATACGGGCTCTTGGGTACCCCATAAGGGATAAAGGAGCAGTTTTCTCTTACAACATGTCCATGTTTATGTTTTCAGAAATGACTGAATGAGTTAAAAGCCATGAAAGCTCACTTGGGTGACCTTGAGGCACAGGGCTGTTTTGAGGATTAAATGGGGAAGAAGGAACCACGCTGTGAACGTCTTTGGAGGAAAGGTGGAGTATAAATATAGCAATAAATAAAGCCTGGTCCTGTATTCCAATGCTAAATACCATTAAACAAAACAATAAACTTGGAAGATATGGACTGACCTCCTCAAATGACCTGCCGGTTGGAAAAAATATATATAGTACAAAAAAATGTAAAGCAATCAATTGGTCTGCATCGGTTACCTGAAACATTTAGCAGGTGGGTTAATAGGTTCTTGTTATTATTATTCTTGTCAAAAATATAACATGAAAGGCACTTTGAAATCCAGCGTATGAAAGACATGCTTGTATTTTGGGAAACCGTAACTAAACATTTGTTAAAAATCAGTAAAAACCTCTGCTCATGGCAGTTTCAACTAGGGTCAGAGGAGAAATTCAGTTCAGTTCACATTTAAATGTGAACCTACCCTACAGCTCTTACATGTTCTGAAAACTGCAGCCCTTAAAATTAAATTGTAGAGTTGGAAGGGACCCTGAGGGTCATCTAGTCCAACCCCCCTCCAATGCAGCTTGTCTCATACAGGGATCGAACCTGCAACTTTGGTATAATCAGCACCACGCTCTGACCAACTGAGCTATCCTAATCTGCACTTTCTGGCAGTGCAGGCGGGGAAATGGACAAAGGCAAAACACAGCAGTCCTTCAAAATTCACAGTTCTCCAGCCAAGTAATTTCTACAAAAATGGATATACAGTACAAAGGTTGTGTGTGCACAAAAACCGCAGATGTTAGAGAAAACGTATTACAAGCATTATATTATGGAGAATAGCTTTGCAAAATGCACAGAAGGCAAAACGGAACAGAAACGGGTATATCTGCTGATGAATTTCTGCTGATGAATTTTCAAGAGGACTTAGAAACACACAGAGAGAGGAAAACTGATGTGGAAATGTGTTAAACTGAACTTGAGAGCGGGGGTGGGGGTGGGGAATGAGTTCTGAAAGAAACCAACACCGGCAGTGTTAAGTTGTGGGTGAACATATCAGACGACACAGCGATTCTTCAAACAGCTCTTGTTTATTCACAGGCCAGAACAGAACTGAACTGAAGTGTTCAGCCAGCCTGCTTATATAGAGCTCCACTAGAACGCAACAGTAACCATTTTCTGTAACTATCCAATCACTGAATGTCACTTTCGATCCCTTATTTGCATATGTGGACCTGAACTATCTGCAGTATCCCCCTGCTGGCCCAGGGTGAGAACTTCAGTACATAACAGACAGATTCACCCATCACTTGTTTCAATATATGGGCGACTCTCAATATACATGGAGGTTACATTCCAGGGATAGCATGTAAAGCCAAAGTCATGTACAGTGGTACCTGGGGTTAAGTACTTAATTCGTTCCGGAGGTCCGTTCTTAACCTGAAACTGTTCTTAACCTGAAGCACCACTTTAGCTAATGGGGCCTCCTGCTGCCGCTGCGCCACTGGAGCACGATTTCTGTTCTCATCCTGAAGCAAATAGTCAAAACACTTTGGGTTTAATGGTGGGTGGGATTGCCAAAGTCTTTTCCCCCGGACACCTGCCCCATTTCTAATTTTTTTTATATATTTTTTATTTGCCAAGTGTGTAAACCTGAATGCAAGCAAGTTCAATGTGCCTAAGTTGCAAGTTATCTACACTGTCACTTTATACAGTGGATTCCAGTTACAGGTAGGTAGCCGTGTTGGTCTGCTGTAGTCGAAACAAAATAAAAAAAATCCTTCCAGTAGCACCTTAAGGTAAAGGTAAAGGGACCCCTGATCATTAGGTCCAGTCGTGACCGACTCTGGGGTTGCGGCGCTCATCTCGCTTTACTGGCTAAGGGAGCCGGCGTACAGCTTCCGGGTCATGTGGCCAGCATGACTAAGCCACTTCTGGCGAACCAGAGCAGCACACAGAAACGCCGTTTACCTTCCCGCCGGAGCGGTACCTATTTATCTACTTTCACTGGTGTGCTTTCGAACTGCTAGGTGGGCAGGAGCAGGGACCGAGCAACGGGAGCTCACCCCGTCGCAGGGATTCGAACCACCGACCTTCTGATCGGGTGGTTCTGGTGCAACGGGACACCGTGACAGAAACCAGAGCGCACGGAAACGCCGTTTACCTTCCCACCCCAGCGCTACCTATTTATCTACTAGCACTGGTGTGCTTTCGAACTGCTAGGTTGGCAGGAGCTGGGACCGAGCAACAGGAGCTCACCCCGTTACGGGGATTCGAGCTGCCAACCTTCCGATCAACAAGCCCAAGAGGCTCAGTGGTTTAGACCACAGCGCCATCCTTATTTACTGTTATTACCGGCCCCTTCTCTCTTAAGGTCCTAGGATGGGTTACAATGGCACAAATAACACAGTTTAAAACCCAAACAAAACCAACTACAAAAACAATAAAAACTCAATTCACAATTTTCAGGTAGATCGGGGGAGGGGTGTTCACAAAACATTTTCAGGTAGATCACATGGATGTGGCATGTTTTCAGTGCTATTAGTGGTGCAATGGTCGCTGTGTAGTTAAATGTTGTTATTATTCGGTTTAAAATGCTTAATCACCAGGGGGACGCGGGTGGCGCTGTGGGTTAAACCACAAAGCCTAGGACTTGCCGATTGGAAGGTCAGCGGTTCGAATCCCCGCGACGGGGTGAGCTCCTGTTGCTTGGTCCCTGCTCCTGCCCACCTAGCAGTTCGAAAGCACATCAAAGTGCAAGTAGGTAAATAGGTACCGCTCCGGCGGGAAGGTAAACGGCGTTTCCGTGCGCTGCTCTGGTTCGCCAGAAGTGGCTTAGTCATGCTGGCCACATGACCTGGAAAAACTGTCTGCGGAAGCGGACAAATGCCAGCTCCCTCGGCCAGTAAAGCGAGATGAGCGCCGCAACTCCAGAGTCAGTCACGACTGGACCTAACGGTCAGGGTTCCCTTTACCTTTATATTCACAAGTGCTTAACCTTTTCTTTTTACACAAATAGCATCGCGTCCTTTGCAAATGTAAAAAAAAAGAAAGGTTTTTTTTATATCACTTCCTTGTTGGAGGAGTTGCAATAAACTTGGTACATAATATTGTTTGTGGCAGGAATGTTGTTATAATTGCTCTCACTGTTTTATATACATTATAAAATGAAATAATAAAAATATTTACAAAGAAATACTTTTTTCTGTGTTTTTTAAAAATATGTTTCAGAAACCAAGAATTAAAAATAAAATATTGAAGATGGCATCTCTAACAAGCAATGGCAGCTTCTATGTATTAAACTATAAATTTTCCCATATATCCTTCAATAATTATATTGCCACCTACATTGAGGTTTCGGTGGCATGCAAACTTATTTAAATTCATTTGATTTTTCAATCAATTAATCAGCTAAAGAGAGATGTCGGATCAACTGAATTTATACTATTCTGCCCTGACTGCAGCAGTTCTATTCGTTTTTATAATTTTACATTATGTTGCAACCTGCCCTGGGACCTCATGGTGAAGGGCAGGTAAGAAATCTTATAAATCTAAAAATAATAATAATAAAACTTTCCTCAGTGGACAGCCCGAATTATTTCCCGATGGAGAGGTCCGACTTTGGTTTTCCACCTCACGTGCCAAAATGACATAGGGCATCCCCTGTGTCAGATTAAAGTATCGTGTTGAATAGAGATCTGAACTCGCGGCTGATGGGGCAAAGTCCAGTCCTCTGTCCCCCACAGTGGACTCACTATTTGACCGGCAAGGAGACTTGTAAGCTGGGAAATGACTGTGTTGTTGTCTCCCTGTGCTAATTATGTCATGGCAAAGTTTCATTGACTGCCCAACAACAAGACTCCTCAACAGATGTGTATGATCCTCATGATTTAGCAAGCGGAAACAAATTATGGCCTGATCCATTTCTAATGAGGTAACGTCTCCCAAGCAACTTGTCAGCACTCTACCTTGTTTTATTAAAGTTCTCGTAAAGACATGAAAGCTCAAAAAAGACCTGAGATTGTTATTATCTTTTAAAAGAGACGGCGAGGGGAGAAGAAACCGAATCTCATGCTCACATTTTTCTAGCAGTATGACAACTTAACTAGCGTAAGGGAATCTGGTAACCTGCCAGGAATAATAACCGCCACATTCTAACTTTAAGAACCAACCACCCATATGATAGACGCGCGAGTGAAAAAAGAATAACTTCGAAGAACTCCAACCTGCTGCCTCCAACTACATAACCGCCACCATTTTTCCAATGAAAATAGGGACGTCCTAAATAATAACAATAACAATGACAATAATATATTTTTTACTATTTATACCCCACCCCATCTGACTGGGTCGCCCCAGCCGCTCTGGGCAGCTTCCAACGTACAGTCGTACCTCGGGTTACAAACACTTCGGGTTACAAACTCCGCTAACCCGGAAGTAGTACCTCGGGCTGAGAACTTTGCCCCAGGATGAGAACGGAAATTGCGCACTGGCGGCATGGCGGCAGTAGGAGGCCCCATTAGCGAAAGTGCGCCTCAGGTTAAGAACGGTTTCGGGTTAAGAAGCTGGGACAGAGCAACAGGAGCTCACTCCGTCGTGGGGATTCGAACAGCCGACCTTCTGATCGGCAAGCCCAAGAGGCTCAGTCGTTTAGACCTCAGCGCCACCCGCGCTATGTTAGTAGGGTAACTGGGCAAGGGACAAGAAATACATGATGCTAAATGCAACTTTGGACTTCATGGAGGGGGTCCTAATCATTGCAAGGTGGGTGCGATAATTATTGGGATCACAGCAGGCATGGAAGTGGAATTTTCCTTCCCTTCCCTGCTGCGGTATTAAAGGATAACCCTTCTCTGAAGCTGGAATTTGAAACCTCACCCAGGCCAGTGGGAAAGTACTTCCCAATGCGAACAGCGTATTCAGGAAAGTGCAACAGAGCTTGCATATAAACGCAGACTTGCCATGGACAAATTCAATTATATTTGCAATCCATTCTTACAAATACTGTAATAGGTTAAGATCTGGTGAAGCACAATAACAACCTTGTAAAGTATACAGTTTTGGGTTTTCCCCCTCCCCCCTTTTATTTGCCCTTCTACACGGGCTCTGTTTCTCTTTCTCTTTTTCTCTCTTTTTATTTAAGTCTCGCTATGTTTAGTGCACATATAATTATGTACTTTTTGAACTTTCAACAACGATATTTTAAAAAGGAAAGGGTTAAACGTTCCCACACTTCCTGTGCCCATCTGATATTATTTGAAAACATCCATCTAAATCTACATGACTAGTTTGTCCCTCAGATTCTAGACTTTTAAGTCAAGTGCTTTATAGTTCCATTCAGAACCAGGGATATTGTTCATTCAGGCAAATTGTGAGCGAGTGTCTCTGTCTGAAAGCCTCTCCCTTTATCGGATTAAGTGCGTTGGACTTGTCTTGGACAGCTCTTTTCTTGTGGCTAGACAGGAATAAAATTTAAGTGTTTCGAAAAGGGTGGGGCAAGTTTCTCAAGAAACGATTATCCCAGCATTTACTTTACTCACTGCCTATAATCTGTGACTCATTCTAAAAAATTAATGAAATCAAAAGGGGAGAGAGAGCTAAAAGAAAAAGAAGACAAATCCTTAAAAAAGCATTTCCTCAGACATTTCAATGAGG